TCCAATAACATTCTTTGAGTACAAAATGTACAGGAAACAATTATAGGATAACAAAAAAGAAACCCTTAACTACTTAAAAATTAAAAGAAAAATCCCTAGTAAATTTGATCAAGAAAAAGAACGGAAAGGAAATATATGATGTTAGGAATTAAAAGAGAGAGAGATTCGCAAGTTCGCAGCTTTAAAAGGCAACAGTTTGCTCTGCACAGCTTTGTGTCACTAAGTATGAAAAGAGAGATGAATACTTTCATAGGAAAATATAAGAAATTGAAAAGGTTATAAATGATCAATCTTTCTCCAAACAAAAGGTACTAGGCCCAGAATTTTTATGGATGGATTGTATCAAATCTTCAAGGAACAGAAAATTCCTACATATTAATTTTCCCAAGTATAGTATAAGTTGACCATCTTTCCAATTCAACCTTTGAGGAAAAAAAAGATTGCTGAAACTGTCAAAGACGCTATAAAACTATAGTAACTGCAGTGTAGACAAAAAGATGAATGGAACAGAATAGAGCCCAGGAATATGACTCAGTGGGAATTAAGCGAACAACAAAGCTGCCCTTTCAAATTGAGCGATGAAATGGTACATTTCTCAGTAAGTGACTTTCGGAAAACTGGCTATTTGGAAAAAAAATAACGTTAGATCCCTATCTCAAAGTACAAGTTAAGATAAATTCCCTGTGAATAATAAACTATGATCCCCCAGAAGCAACAACTCAAAATTACTGTAAGAAAACTTGGGAGAATATTTTATAGTCTTAGATGGCAGAAGGCTTTTTCTTAGCATAACAACAAAGGCCAGAAGTCCATAAAGGAAAACATCATTGATTTAACTATCTTAATTCTTAAAATTTCTGCGTAAGTTCTGCTGAAGGGAAATGTGAAAATTTAAAATACATTCCCCTTCGATGCAATAATTGCAGTCTTAGAATTTACTTTTAGATATAGTCACACATTTATGTATAAGGATATTCCTTTTGACACTATTTGTAGGAGAGAAAGCCTAGAGACAACCCAAATGTAGAAAAATAGTATGCTCAGTAGAAAAATTATAGTAAATTTCATACAATGGAATACTACATAGCCATCAAAGAGAATTAGTTCTAAATATGGAAAGGATGCCCACAGTAAGTAAAAAATGGAAACAAACAAATAAAAAACACAGTAATTCATTGTGTGTGGCATGATTCCATTTGTTTGGAATAATATGATTATAGGATTATATACGCTCATAAAACATATTTTAAAACATAATAGTGCTATACTTCTGGGGAGTGGTTGCTGGGTGAAATTTGGGTAAGAGAAGGAAGACTGAAGGGAAACGTTTACTATTTACTTCACACAGCATAGTTCGATTGTTCAAAAAGTATCTATTTTAAATTACTATGGCACAATTTGCAGAGATGTGGATGGACCTAGAGATTGTCATACAGAGTGAAGGAAGTCAGAAAGAGAAAATCAAATTATCGCTTATATGTGGAATATAAAAAAATGGTACAGGTGAACTTATTTGTGAAGCAGAAATAGAGTCACAGATGTAGAGAACAAACTTATGGTTACCAAGGGGGGAAGGGGAAGTGGGAGGAAGAGGGAGATTGGGACTGACATATAAACACTACTATGCATAAAATAGATAACTAATGAGAACCTAGTGTATAGCACAGGGAACTCTACTCAATGCTCTGTGGTGACCTAAACGGGAAGGAAATCTAAAAAAGAGTGGATATATGTATATGTATAACTGATTCACTTTGCTGCATAGCAGAAACTCACATAACATTGTAAAGCAACTATACTCTAATAAAAATTAATTTTATAAAGAAGAAAGAAAAAAAAGGTAAAAAAATTAAGCCAAAAAAAGAATTTACTATGGCACAAGACACCACAAATAAAGCAAAAAGAAATGACAAGCTGGTGGAAGATATTTACAACATGACAAATGGTTAACAGCTTTAATATGTAATTAGCTGTTACAAATCATTAAGAAAAAGATGGCGGTAAATGACAACAGCAGCTAAGATTTACATAGCAATTACTGTGTGCAGGTTTTTACTTATTTAACAACCCCACGATATGTGTACTATTATTACCCCCATCTTATAGACAGGGACATGGAGACACAAAGAGGTTAAGTCACTTGCCCAAGTTTGTTAAAAATAACAAGTGATATAGTGCACAGATTCAAATACAGGCAGCCTGACTCCAGAATCTATACTGCCTCTTAATAGACTGATGGGCATGGGATACAAAAAGACAATTCATTAGAGAGGGAAAAAAATGGCCAATAAGCCCCAGTGTTAAATCTCATAATAGCACCCTTTAAAGTATCAGATTGCAAGGAATAATTACATTGGTAGTGAGTATAGGAGGAAAAAAACACCTCTCTGTCACATACCAGATAGGAAGGAAAAGTAGTATATTCTTTATGTATCAAAATTTATCAATATTTATATTTTTTATAGTTACATATAAAATTTATACATTCTTTGGCTCCGCAAGTCTATTTCCAGGAATTTATTGAGAAAATAGCTGGATAAAAGAACCAAGATATATATACAAGGATTTCCACTGTAGAGTGAAAATTTGGAATACACACACACACACACACACACACACATGTCACCTATATATTTAATACATTATACATGTATATATAAATTGTATACATACCCACACATATACACAGAAACACTGATTATTTCTAGATTAAGAAAAAACCTGCACTTGTATTATTTGCTTCTTAAATACTTTGCACATATTACTTTTATAACCAGAAAATGATAATGGTAATTTTCATACATACACACATACATTAGAAGCTTCCAGAGTTGAGAGACCAATTTGTGCATGTGTGAGCCAGCTGCAAAGAGGTGCACAGACTTCCTGACCTTTGGATGCTAAGAGCAAAAGCGCTAGAGTTTGGTGATGCACAAAAGCAACCAGGAAATAACCTAGTTCCTTGAAATCTGAATGCCTTTGTGACAAGCAAGCAATAATATTTTATAAGTATTTGAAGTATCCCCACCACCCCATCCTACCCTGTCCTTCTCAGGAGGCCTGAGCCCACTAGGGAAGCCCTCAATCCTGCAGTACAGGTTCTAGATTCTGCACAGGTGGGTGGCGATGGCCACCTCCATGCCTGCCCTGAGTTCTGCAGCTGTCAGAGAGAGAGGTCTGCAGGAGATGTACTGTTGCAGATTTGGGGCAACTGTGTGCTTTGGGTTAGAATCTAATCTTGACCTATGGGCTCAAGATCAGAACTACATGGCTTTTAGCTTAAAGAAGAAATTTTATTTAAAATCTATTTTATAAAGAACAGAAACTATTTCAGTAAAATCATTATTCTACTATTTTAGTAAAAAATCTCAGATGTGAAGGAAGCTTTCAAAATGGCAAAACCTATTTTCAAGTTTAGAAAATATTCTGCTATCATATGAAAAGTTCTCTTTTTGTTTTAGTTCAGGGGTCTGCAAAATCTTCTGTAAAGAGCCAAATACATATTTTAGGCTTTGCATACCTCAGGGTCTCTACTGCATCTACTCAACTCTGCCATCACAGCAGGAAAGCAAACAGACAGTACGTAAACAAACATTCACAGATGTATTTATTTACAAAAATAAGTGGTGGGCTGCCTCAGGCTGTCGTTTGCTGACCTCTCTTTTAGATTATCAATTTTAGAAGTGGTCTATTGTATTATATCTTTTTTCTCCCACCATTTACGTTACTTAGGTTGAGAGGCTTCTGAAGTTATCTTCTGTGGAGCAGTATGTACAGTCTTTCTCCCAAGAAATGAGATGTGTCTAAATGCCAGTTCATTGTACTGGGCTCGGTCATTCTCAAATCTCAGCAAAGATACGGGGACATGCACCTCTCATAGCTGTTCTCCCTCCTTAGAGCAGCTACATGACTATAACAGCTGCCATTTCCCTCCTGCCATATTCCCAGCTCCCTCTAACACACACACACACAGCTCAATATTGGACCCTATCCTTTAGTTTAAGGGAAAATGTATATAACTCTACGGTATGGAGATTTAAAAATGACTCAGAAGAGCTGTATATAAACAAGATGACAGAATGTGTATGTTTTTGTGACTCAGGATGTGGGTGCAAGTTCATGTCTGTATTTTGTTGACAAAACAGCACAGTGGGTTCATCCTACCTCTCTACAGAGACCCAAAGAGTTACTAGGAATTCCGACACTGCAATGCCTACTACACACCAGAGACCACCTCTCAAAAGAAAGAAGTGGTTAAGCTAATGTTCTCCAACCTGATTCTTCCCATTTAAACAGTATAAACACTGGGAGAAAATTAGTTTGCTTAAAAAATAAGTAGTATGTGTGGAGAAGAATTAGGAATGAAAAAAAAAAAGCTGTCAAGTACCCTGAGCCCTAATTTGGTAATCTGTTGATCCTGATGATGCTTGAGAATGCGAACAAGCAGAAAACGCAGAAAGTTCACATTTCTTCTGCCACTATTAATTATGATTCAAACAATAAATACTTACTGAGAATCTACTAAATGCCAGGCATTGTGCTAAGTGTTTAGAAATCTAGACACTGTGTTATTTTCTTTTTAAAACTGCCTATTAATAGAATATAATGAATTTGAGTCATAGACACAGGTGGGAATTTTATACATGAGTCATCCAGGTACCCTAATATTTTAGTAGGTGAACAACACTCATGAAGGTTCTGATTTGAGCTAACAAATCCTTTTTTTACAATGAGTAGGCTTCTAGCTAATGAATTTGCTAGTAGTCTCTTTCCTTCCCAGATATGACATATACTATATGTTTAAGAGCACATACTTAGAAGATGGTTTAGTAACATTAATCTGTCCATTAGGAAGAAGTCCTAAGAACTGCTGAATTCATTCTACAATCCCTTATGAGCACAGCCTCCAAATGAAGGCTCTGGCTCTGATTCAACATGGCAGAGAAATGCTGCTGCCTGGAGGAGCGTATGAGCAAACCCCTGAGAACTGAGCTACTTACAGTGAAAGGGTGGTAGGGGGGACCGGGGGGAGCTCCTCGGGGCCCTGCTGGCGGAGGCAGCATGGACAGTCCTGTTGAAAAGATGCCAAGTGCGCTGAGGTTCAACCCCGGGATCAGATTGGCTTGTTGCTGGGAATAAAAATGGAGAAAAAGTTGAGGGGAGGAGACCTGAGAGGTCCAGCTTGCCTGGGTCAACCTCCATCTCTTGCCTGGGTGGCACCAGGGTCTCCTAATGAATCAGCTCCGCCCAGGCCCCGTGGGCCTCTTCCTCACCGTGTTGCAGGGGTGAGCTCTCCAGACCTCAACCTGACTGTGGCTTCCCTTCAAAGGTTCTCTGCTGCCTTGAGAGTGTCTACACATCTTAACACAGCAAGCAAGGCTCTTCCTGGGGACCCAGGCCACCTCACCAGCATCTCTCCTGCTAACCCTTTACCTCCACTCTGCCCGGTCGTCCTCCTCTCTCTCCTCTGGACCCCCCCCCCCCCCCAACACTGTCTACCTTGCAAGAAATGTGCTTCTCTCCCTCCTCACCTGGCTACATCCTACTCGTCATGTGGGTTTCACCTGAGCTTAGGTGTCCCCTCTTCGAGGAAGCCTTCTCTCACCCCAAAGGCCTCAGCTCAAGGTGCTCTCCTAACATGCCCACGTTTCCTTACAACAGCAGGCATCACATGGTATCTGAATGGCCTGTGTAGCTGCCTCTCCCCTTTTTAGACCACAGTTTCCTTATAGACAGAGACTGTCCTATTTAGTGCTGTGAGCTCAGTGCCTGGTACATAGTAAGTACTCAATAAATATTTGCTGGATGAATATGTTTAAAACATATTAGATTAATAGTTTTTCCTAACTCTATCCAGGGAAAGATCAGACCCTTCACTAAGATACCACTTATGTAAACTCCATTATCCATATTCAGAATGGTTCACAACCTTGGCTTCTTTACCATTTAGTTGCCAGCTTCATGATCATCTCACTTGCTAATTTCACATTTAAATATGGGGATGCTCACATAGGCTGCCCCTTCAGAGGCAGAGGAATGATGCAGCGCCCACCCTGGCCTGTATCCAACCTGTCCCACCACTGCCCCCTGAACGCTAAGCAAAGCTCTAACATTTTCTCTTTTCTTATCTGTGGCTCTAGGGTCACCCAGTAAGTTGTCTTCTTTTAGAATGTCTGGAATAGGAGAGCTAAGATCCTTGACCTTGATCCCATTCATGTATAAGATTTAGTAGTTCTGTTATTCACCTATCAATGCATGACTTTAGCCCAGACATGAATGAACCTAAGTGATATATATGCTCAGGGGAAGATGTCTGGAGCACCCAGACCCTTTGCAGCATTTCCAGGTGTTCATGGAAAGAGCTGTTTATCATAAGATATCAAGATCCCCAAAGAAGAAAATGAGATCAGCAGATGATACTTTCACAGACAAATACACACAAACAGGGGAGAAGTTCACACTGAAGTCTTCTCCTCGTTGTGCCTCGTAATTATGATGTGACAAGGGCTACTAAGGGGGGATTTGGGGTGAGGTGGGAGAGAGAGTACTGACCTGAGTAAGAAGGTCCTGTGGAAAGTGCTGCAGTGAGGAAACTGGGGCTGCGTTTAACCTACCTAGTCCTTCGTCAACATTTATTCTTCTGTGAAATGTTATATACAAAGTCTGGGATTTTCTTCAAAGTCATCCAAGGTGGGTGGGGATATGGATAAAGGTTCAGATGAAACAAAACAGGCCATGAGTTGGTAACTGTTGAAGTTGGATTATGGGCATATGAGAGCTTATCATAGTATCCTTTCCTGTTTTGTATATGTTAAAAAAATCACTACCATAAAAAATGAAAAAATTTACTCCTCTGAGCTGAGTTTGTGCTTTGATTGACGGACAAATATTTTTAAGATTTCTGAATGAACTTTAGAATGGTGTCTCTCCATTAAAAAGTTGGAACTAGTAGTAGTAACAGGAAGAACAAACTCAAATCAGTCTGCTAGAAGTATTAGAGCTGAGGTGGATGACAACGTTTACTGGGCGTAAATACATCAGGGACTTCCTTGGTGGCGCAGTGGTTAAGAATCCGCCTGCCAATGCAGGGGACACGGCTTTGATCCCTGGTCCGGGAAGATCCCACATGCCATGGAGCAACTAAGCCTGTGCACCACAACTAATGAGCCCGTGCTCTACAGCCTGTGAGCCACAACTACTGAGCCCGAGTGCCGCAACTACGGAAGCCCGTGCACCCTAGGGCCTGCGTGCCGCAACTACTGAGCCCGTGTGCCACAACTACTAAAGCCTGCACGCCTAGAGCCCGTGCTCCACAACAAGAGAAGCCACCACAATGAGAAGCCCACGCACCACAACAAAGAGCAGCCCCCGCTTGCCACAACTAGAGAAAGCCCGCACGCAGCAACGAAGACCCAATGCAGCCAAAAATAAATAAAATTTAAAAATAAATTAATTAAAAAAATAAAAGAACAGATCAGTGAGAGATGAAAATCAGAAGTTATTTTTAAAGTATGTACTTTTAAAATTGGAAAATAGGGGAAAAAAATCCCACTTTTCTAACATACCAGCTATTTTGATTTTTATATATAGCCTTCCAGGCATTTTGACCCATATTATTTTACATAATTATAACCCTAGTTATATATACTTTTATATATTCTTTTAATTAACAATACATCATAAGCAATTCCTCATTTTAAAATCTTCCAAGTTGTGATTTCGTTGACTCCATACTATTTTGTCCAGTGCACTTATCATAATTTACTAGTTCGTTTCCTGATTATTCTAATGCCCTTGCCCCAAGAAGACATGAATAACTCTGCATACCTATTCTAAAGTGCTTCTTCACTTTCTGAATGGCAATTATGCTTAGAGAGGCTTGGGTCCTGCCTGAAAATACATGTGAAAACCAGTGGAGAAGAAAGCAGTAGGCACTTACATTAACAGCCAGCATATCATTTTCAAAGGCCTCACGCAGCTTCTTCATAATCTCTATTTCAGCATTGGCACAGGCCTCAACTGTGCCCTTCACAGTGATGGTTCTTTCAGGGTTGTATATGCTCAAATCCTGTAAGCTGGCCACCAGGAAAAAGAGAGAAATTTCCTTTTTTCAAAAGGAAAAATAAAATCCCAGAAGGATCACAAACAAGTCTTGGTGGAGGAGACAGGGAGAAGACACCACACGCTGTGGCACAGAATATCTGCCATCTTATCTCAAATCTTTGTAGTGACTTAGATCAAATCCACAGTAGAAAATGTTTGACTGGTAACTATTTATGTATTTGTTTTGATGGTGTTGAATATAACCATATCACTTATGATTACATTCCCACTTTCAAGCAGATGAATGAGTTGGATATATCAAAATGCTCAAATTCTCCATTATTGGGCACAATTAATCTGAACAAGAGGCTTACGATGAGATTGTTATCTTGGTCCCTGTCTCGTGTTCAATTTTCTTCAAATTTCTGCCTTCTTTTCCAATCAGTCTTCCAACCAAGCCATTGTGGGCCAAGATCTTCAGAGGAATCTCTTCAGCTCTAAAAGACACAAGCCACATTTTAACATTTAAGGTGAACACAACGGTTGCCTCCCAAGAGCTATTACCCTCCTTGTTTCTTACAAATAGAAGCCATTTCTGTTCAGGTACCAAGTGGCCATGGGCTTTATGAGATGCTGGGTCCTTCACTAACTCTGGTGCGTGAATTCTGATTAACACACGCCAAATCATGGTAATTATACTCCCTTGTTGTGATTGGTTGGAAATGGGTCCATGAGAGAGATCTGGCCAACTAGGTATGAGAATTAAGTCTGTTGGGTGATTTCAGGAAGGTTCTCCTTGCTCTTAAAAAAGGCACAATGGATAATGACATCAGTCAGATGGTAGACTAGGAAGCTACAGGCCCTCCTACTCCCACTGAGACACCAAGTTGACAACAAAAGATAGGCTAGACTATCTCTCTAAGAACTCTAGAGATCAGGTGAGAAGCTACAGCACCCAGGCTTTTATAAAACCAAAAAGGGATTCAAGTAAAAGGAGTAGGAAATTTTGTGGCGTTTGGCATGCCTTTCATGCTCCTTCCCCTACACAGTATAGCAAGGGGAAACTGGGAGGAAATCCTCCATACCAGGGATCCTCCCCTGGGACAGAAACAAAAAACTGGACCATGATTCCCACGTTCTGGCTTGCCTGGGAGCTGCCCGAGTGATTGGTTTCTGTCTCGCCTGACTTAGAGTTGACAAGCCTGGTGCCAGAGTCTGGAAGCTGCTGAAAACAGAGGTGAACTGTTAGAGCTGCAGTTCCATAGTCAGAAGCCAGAGGGTGAAAGAGATCAGAAATGGTTTGAGAGGTCCTAGAACCTCCAGCCAGACTGATTAGTGACGATCTTCTCCTGAACAAAGCCAGTATGCAAAGACTGTGAGAGGTGTTTTTTTTTCAAATGCTCAAATCGCAGCAAAAAGTTATAAGGCATATAAAGAAATGGAAACATGGCCTAATCAAAGGATCAAAATAAAACTCCAGAAACTGACCCTAAAGAAATGCAGATCTATGAGCTACCTGACAAAGACTTTAAAATAGTGATCATAAAGATACTCAATAACCTAAAAGAGAACACAGACAACTAAATGAAATCAGGAAGATGATGCATGAATGAAGTGAGAATATCAACAAAGAAAAAGAAACTATTAAAAAACCTAACAGAAATAACAGAACTGAAAAATACAATAACTGAACTGAAATATTCATTAAAAGGGTTCAACAGCACACATGATCAGGCAGAAGACAGAATCAGCAAACTTGAAGATCAGTCATGTGAAATCATCAAATGAGAGGAGAAGAAACAAAAGAGAATTTTTAAAAAGTGGAGAAAGGGACTTCCCTGGTGGCACAGTGGTTAAGAATCCACCTGCCAATGCAGGGGACACAGGTTCGATCCCTGGTCCGGGAAGATCCCACATGCTGCGGAGCAACTAAGCCTGTGCACCACAACTACTGAGCCTGCGCTCTAGTGCCTATGTGCCACAACTACTGAAACCCGTGCACCCTACAGCCCGCGTGCCGCAACTACTGAAGCCCGCGTGCCTAGAGCCCGTGCTCCACAACAAGAGAAGCCTGTGCACCGCAATGAAGAATAGCCCCTGCTCACCGCAACTAGAGAAAGCCCGCACGCTGCAAGGGAGACCCAACGCAGCCAAAAAAAATAAATAAATAAAGTGGAGAAAGGCTAAGGGACTTACGGAACATTATCAAGTGGATCAAAATACATGTCATTGGAATCCCAGAAGGAGAAGAGAGAGATGGTGCAGAGAGCTTATTCAAAGAAAACAGGCAGAAAACTTTCTAAATCTGAGACAACAAATGGACATACTGATTCAAGAAGCTCCAAGAACATCCAAGCGGGATAAACCAAAAGAGAATTCCATTGAGATACATTATAACCCAAGTGTCTAAAGTCAAAGAGAAAATCTTGAAAGCAGCAAAGTGATTAGTAACATATGAGGAAATCTCCATAAGATTATGGATGGATTTCTCAGCAGAAATTTTGCAGGCCAGAAATGAATGGGATGACATATTCAAAGCACTGAAAGAAAAAACTATCAGGCTTCCCTGGTGGCGCAGTGGTTGAGAGTCCGCCTGCCGATGCAGGGGACGCGGGTTCGTACCCTGGTCCGGGAAGATCCCACATGCCGCGGAGCGGCTGGGTCCGTGAGCCATGGCCGCTGAGCCTGCGCGTCCGGAGCCTGTGCTCCGCAACGGGAGAGGCCACAACAGTGAGAGACCTGCGTACCACAAACAAACAAACAAACAAAACAACTATCAACCAAGAATACTGCATCTAGCAAACTTTGAAAATGATGGGGAAATTAATACTTTTCCAGATAAACAAAAGCTAAAGGAGTTCATTACTATCAGATCAGCTCTACAAGAAATGCTAAAGGGAGTCCTTTAAGTTAAAATGAAAAGATGGTTCAACATATGAAAATTAATCAATATAATATACCACATTAACTGAATGAAGGACAAAACCCACATGATCATCTCAATTGATACAGAAAAAGCATTTGATAAAATTTAACAACTTTCCATGATTAATAACACCCAACAATTTAGGAACAGAAGGAAACTACCTCAACATAATAAAGACCACTTGTGAAAAGCCCACAGTGAACATCATATTTAATGGTGAAAAACTGAAAGGTTTTCCTCTAAGATCAGGAACAAAACAAAGATGCCCTCAGTATTTCTATGTAACATACTATTAGAAGTCCTATCCAGAGCAAGTAGCTAAGGAAAAAAAATAAAAGACATCTAAGTTGGAGAGGAAGAGGTAACATTATCTCTGTTCACAGATGATATGATCTTATATGTAGAAAACAAAGATTCCACAAGAAAACTGTTAGAACTAATAAACTAATTCAGCAACACTGTAGGCTATAAAATCAACATACAAAGAACAGTAGTGTTTCTATACACTAACAATGAACAATACGAAAAGGAAATTAATTCCATTTATAATAGCATCATAAAGAATAAAGTATTGAGGAATAAGCCTAATTAAAGAAGTAAAAGACTTACACACTGAAAACTATAAAACAACGCTGAAAGAAATTAAAGACAGAAATCAATGGAAAGACATCCCGGATGCCTGGACTGGAAGACCTAAAGTTGTTCAGATGTCCACACCACCCAAAACAATCTACAGATTTGATGTAATCCCTATCAAAATCCCAATGGCAACTTTTGCAGAAACAGAAAAACTCATTGTAAAAATTTATATGGAGGGGCTTCCCTGGTGGTGCAGTGGTTAAGAATCCGCCTGCCAATGCAGGGGACACAGGTTTGAGGCCTGGTCTGGGAAGATCCCACATGCCATGGAGCAACTAAGCCCGTGTACCACAACTACTGAGCCCATGTGCCACAACTAGTGAAGCCTGCATGCCTAGAGCCTGCGCTCTGTAACAAGAGAAGCCACTGCAATGAGAAGCCTGCGCACCGCGACGAAGAGTAGCCCCCGCTCACCACAACTAGAGAAAGCCCACACACAGCAACAAAGACCCAATGCAGCCAAAAATAAATAAAGTAAATAAATTTATTAAAAAAAATTCATATGGAATCTCAAGGGACCCTGAATAATCAAAACAAGTTTGAAAAAGAACTCACATTTCCTGATTTCAAAACATATTGTATAGCTATGGTAATCAAAACAGTATGGTACTGGTATCAAGACAGAAAAATAAACCAAGAGGAAAGAATAGAGATCCCAGAAATAAATCCTTGCATATATGGTCAAATGATCTTCGACAAAGGTGCCAAGGCTACATCATGGGAAAAGGACAGTGTCTTCGAAAATTAACTTTGGAAAACTTGCAAAAGAATGCAGCTGGGGGCTTCCCTGGTGGTGCAGTGGTTGAGAGTCCGCCTGCCGATGCAGGGGACATGGCTTCGTGCCCTGGTCCAGGAAGATCCCACATGCCGCAGAGCGGCTGGGCCCGTGAGCCATGGCCGCTGAGCCTGAGCATCCGGAGCCTGTGCTCCGCAACGGGAGGGGAAAAAAAAGAAAAGGGCCCGCGTACCAAAACAAAAAAAAAAAAAAAAAAAAGAATGCAGTTGGACCCTTATTTCATATACAAAAATTAACTCAAAAGAGATTAAAGACCTAAATGTAAAACCTGAAAGTACAATTTTCCTAGAAGAAAACAAAGGAGCAAAGCTTCACGATAGTGAACTTGGCTACTGTTTTTTGGATATAACACTAAAGCTCAGTTGACAAAAGCAAAATTAACAAATGGGACTACACCAAACCTAAAAACTTTTGTGCATCAAAGGACACACTCAACAAAATGAAAAGACAACCTATGAAATGGAAGTAAGTATCTGCAAATCATATATCTGATAAGGATGTGGAGAAGTCTGAACTCTTGTGAAAGGCTAGTGGGATTGTAAAATGGTGCAACTGGTATGGAAAACAGGTTCCTCAAAAAATTGGAAATAGAACTACTGTATGATCCAGCAATCTCACTTCTTGGTATATATCCAAAAGAATTGAAAGCAGGGTCTCAAAGAGATATTTCAAAACAGCACTATTCATATAGCCAAGAGGTAGAAGCAACCCAAATCTCCATCAATGGATAAATGAATAAACAAAATGTGGTATACACACACAATGGAATATTATTCAGCCTTAAAAAAGGAAATCCTACAACATGAATTCATTTTGAGGTCATTATGTTAAGTGAAATAAGCCAGTCACAAAAAGACAAATACTGTATGATTTCACTTATCTGAGTTCTCTAAAATAGTCAAATTCGCAGAACCAGAAAATAGAATGGTAGCTACCAGAGGCTGGAGGGAGAGGGAAAAGGGGAGTTGTTGTTTAACAGGCACAGAGTTTCAGTTTTGTAAGATGATAAAGTTCTGGAGATCTGTTTCACAATAATGTGAATATACTTAACACTACTGAACTGTACCCTTAAAAATGGTTAAGATGATAAATTTTATGATAGGTGTTTTTTTGTTTGTTTTTTTTTACAATAAAAAAAGTTCAAAAAAAAAGGGCGGGGTGGGGGGACAAGGAGAGGATGCCTTCTCTTTCAACTTTTAAATAGTTTTCTGTGGGGATCCAAGGTCTGAAATCACTTCAGTCATCTTGTCATCATCAGGGGAGTATCAGACACCCTGAAGAAGGTAAAGCAGAAAGAAAAGTCATGGGCCTTTTAGTCTATGATTCAACTGACCTTTCAGTCACTCTCACATAATAAGGACTTCTAATTACGTGACATCATAATTGTTTCTTATTGCTTAAGCCACTTGTTATGTTTTCTGTTACTTGAGACCAAAAGCATTGAACAGATGCATTACTACTGCTTCAAAATACATGGATGTTTGAAGAAGCTCCACTAGAATGTGACTTACAGAGGGCAGGGTTTTTTTGTCAGCTTTGTCCACTGGCACATAGAACAGTGCCTGACAGACAGTATGTACTCAATAAATATTTGGTAAATGAATAGAAAGAAAGTTTAGAATCCCTATTCTCCTCCATCCTCCACCTCCTACTCATCTTCCTCACAGCTCAGCTTAAATGTCACTTACACAGGGAGGCCTTCTCTGAAATCCTCAAATCTCTTCTTGCCCCCTAAAACCTTGATTAGGGCCTCCAGTTACCTGCAGTTGTTTTCCACTGTAGCACCTCTCATAGCTGTGCTTAATTACTTACTGGTATAATTATTTGTTTAGCAGATGTCTCTCCCACTGGATAAAAAAAGGAACTGGATCTTGTTCAGGGCTGTAGCCTCAACCCAGCACAGTGCTCAGCAAGGTGCCACACTCAAAAAAAAAGTATTTCAAAGACAGTCAAATTCTATCTTGGCTCTACACGAATACTTTAAGAATCCAATTTATACATCAGTCTTTTTGGTTCTTCAGAATATTGTCAGATGCTTACACCTAGCTCAAAGGACCAAGGAGGGTAACATTTATAAAATTCTCAATAACTTAGATGAGGGAGGGGCTTCTTCAAATTAAGACACAGCATGTGGGGGGTTTCAAAAGCCCCAAATAGTAAATAATTAGTTAAGTGAAATGTTAGAGTCCCTTACGAAATCTAAGAATAGATTTGCAACGTTTTTCTTTTAGGAACTACTTTCATCTTCTTGGTTTTGGAACACTATTCTTTGACATTGTTTGCTAAATCAGTTTTATATTCAATTCATCCCTCACTGCTTCTTTTTTTTTTTTTTTTTTGCGGTACGTGGGCCTCTCACTGTTGTGGCCGCTCCCGTTGCGGAGCACAGGCTCCGGACGCGCAGGCTCAGCGGCCATGGCTCATGGGCCCAGCCACTCCACGGCATGTGGGATCTTCCCGGACCGGGGCATGAACCCGTGTCCCCTGCCTTGGCAGGCGGACTCTCAACCACTGTGCCACCAGGGAAGCCCCCTCACTGCTTCTTTATTAAAACTGCCACACATGCCTGTAAGTGGATTTTGCCAAACAAACATACAGCCTTTTTTATTATATTGCCTATTCCGTTACCATTAATTTGTTTATAATACAAATTAATAAATTTGTATTACTAAATTATACAAGTTACTAAGAACTGTATTTGTCATTCAAATTGGTACAACACTCAGGAATCCTAAGAAATATTTTGTAAAAGAAATGGACAGGGGGAGAGAGAAAAACAAAGAAGAATGAAGTAGCCACTCAGATACCAGTTTCTACTATTTAAGGAAACATAATCCAATTTTAAGAGTGCAAGTGGCTTAGGAGCATGGTGACAAACCCCTTTTCCAGCATAGTAAATGATGGTTTTGACAACAATGTATTTTCTGTATCTGCCCAGTCCAATATGATAGCCATTAGCCATACATGCGATTATTTAAGTCTGAATGGATTAAAATAAAATATTCAGTTCCTCCATTGCACTAGTCACATTTCAAGCACTCAACAGGAACACATGGCTAGTGGCTATCGTATTGAACAGTGCAGATACAGAACATTTCCATCACTGCATGGCCCTGGACAGCACAGGTCTATACGTTCCTACCAATAATTATTACCAGTGAGTGATGGAAGCATTAGGCTCACCAAGAGAAACATACAAGTAGAGAAGCAGCCATGTTATAAACATAAAAGATCTATTTCCCACCGTATTCTCTTTAGGAACAAATTTCTGAAAAATAATCCTTCCCCTGCTCTCTTTACTAAGAAATAGATTTACAGCTTTTTAAAACTTTCCTGGGTTAAATGAATGACAACCTAATCTTTTTTTCTGCTGAGTGGTCTGTGCATTGCATGCAAACTTACAGTTTGGTCTCATCAGCCTCTTTCTGCATGATTTCGAGAATCATGCGGCATGCTTCAGAGGTTCCCTCTGGGGTGGCATGGATGGTGACAGGCTTCTCTGCAGCCCCAGAGTTCTCCTTTCTATGGATGTCTACCCTGCAGGAAAAGAATCAGGAGCCATAGCACAGCGTCATCTGGGACTGGATCCTAGTCCCAAGAATGCGTCGCACTGGCCAATGTACAGCAAGGACACAGACAGACCAGGAAGTGTCATGAGCACGTTTGCAACCAATGCCATTCTCCAAGAAGGCGGCAAGCGGTGCAGGAGGTCTTGTGCCAAACCCAAATTCTCGGCACCTCCACTGAGAAGGGAATCTTTCTTACAGGAGTGCCACTGGGCAAAGGCACCAAGGCAACGTGGTAATGAAGCCAGTTTGGTCAATGAAGTATGTTGTGTAGTCTTTCCAATGATCTTAGAAGTGAAGAGTAAAGTGAGCGGGATAATACTGCACGTTGGCACAGTGCCGGTCTCTGAACTGATTGCAGCTTTTAAAAGCCATATGTTAATCCAACTCCACCAAATTCAAGCAAGCTTTATGTATCTGAGTATGGACAGAAAACAGAGGCATGCCCTTTCTCTGCCTAAGTTTCTGGTTTCCTTGCCACCGGCAGCCTGCCTTCTTCCAGGCTCTTAAAAACTAATGGCTCAAAAGCTCGATGACTTTATCAGACTTCTTTGGGTACTTGTGGCTCTATTTGTTTTTAACTTTCAAAATCACATAATTGATTGTATCCTTTTTTACTCTGGCTGTCAGAAAGCCCAAATCCAAGTCTCTGGCCTATTTCTAAAAAAATGGGCACACACTTTGAGAACTAACTCACTTGTATTTAAACTTGCTGCATTTTTTTAAATGATTTTTTTTTAGTTACTTTATTTTATTTTTTGGACACACTGCGCGGCATGCGGGATCTTAGTTCCCCTACCAGGGATTGAACCCAGCGCCCCCTGCAATGGAAGCGTGGAGTCTTAACCACTGGACCGCCAGGGAAGTCCCTAACCTTGCTGCATTTATAAAGCCACTTTAAATAATCTTTGGAACAAAAAGACATACAAATAAAAATCACTTTCTCAGTGAAGAAAACTTGGGAAAAAAGGGGACTGATTTTAAAATAAAGGAAACACCACATAGTATTTGCCCCCTGTACTATCTCATCATTTCACTCCTATGATTTTAAACTCTGGGACTCATATAAGTGTCCATTATTTGGAAGTAACTCATTCACTTTGCAGAAAACAGTATTTTCTCTTTCAGGTTACAAGACACTCAATAACCTGAATAAAATGCACTAGGCATGTAAATAACAAATATTTGTCAGTAATTTGGTGCTTTGTAATTTAAGTGCTTTGTAATTTCCTTCAATCTGCCTGACTGTCCTAATTCTCACAATACTCCTGGCTTACAGAAGAAGCAATTGGTGCTCAGAGACCTGAACATTTTTTCTAAGATCATATAGCTATTAAGTGGTAAAACTTGAACAAGGGTCTTTGTTTTCAAGACCTGTGCTTTGTTCATTACATCATGCTGTGGTCTTATGAACACACAAAACTCAGCAACCTCACAAGTCACTTTATCCACTACAACTCCTACTACCAATTCAGTCTCCTTAAACAGAAAACTAAACATAAGACTAATGTACTTTATTTATTGCTCAATGTAACAGTGACTCACCCATTTCCTTTATGTAGCTATTTGCGAGACTCCCTAGGTGGTCTCAAAGAATGACTACCACCCAGGGCTCTGACGCAGGAGAGGAGGCAAGAGCTAAGATACGCGGGTTCTAGGGTCCCGTAACGTTCAGCCCCATACCTCTGTTGTTTTAAAAACATGTAGATGTATTCACAGGTATCAGATAGCTTATGAGAACAATTCTTGACTGTGAGGTCATTAGTACCTTGTTTATGAACTATTAGTGTTTCAGGGTATGACCTTTAGGTCACTGGCATGAAAGCTCATTAAAGCCCCTGGGCTTTGTGTTAGTCTGTTAGTAGTTCCATTTAAAGAAGCCATAGTCCCATACAGCACAGCCCCCCGCTGCTGATGCAAGCAATAGCAACCTGGGAATGGCCGGGACCCACCAGCACTCAGGGGACCCCTCAGAAGGAAGCAAAGGAAGCCCCGGAGGCACGTACCGGGACTGGGTCTGCTTAGTGATGTTCTTTATGGTCAAGCCCTCCTTTCCGATGATGGCACCAACAAACTGGGTGGGGACCAGGATCCGCAGCGGGAAATCAATCTGTCTGGCCTGAGAAGAGCCCCCAGGGGCATGGCCTTGCTCCCGGGAAGAGTGGTCCCCACGCTGGGCTCGCTGAGGGGGCGAAGGGGAGCTCACCTCTTCATCCGGGATGTAGGAAATCTTGAAGGAGTAGTTCTCAAACTGATGCCCGCTTAGCTTCTCGATGGCTCTGAAATGCAGCAGGGGCAAGTGAGCTTTGTTAGAGAACAGTGTTGGAGAAGACCCCCCAGGGTCAATGGACCGGTTCATTCACTCTCCTTTACTAGTTGCCTACGTGAGTGCCGTCCTCGGCACTAAGGATGCAGCGGTGAGCAAGACACGTGCCGTCTCTGCTCCCTCAGGGCTTGTGGTTAACAAATTAAACACGTAATTACAACGTGCAGGCCTGGTCAGACTTGATATACAATGTGCCAGTCTGCTTTTTTTCACCACTCAAGGCTGTATCCCCATCATCAAAAACTCTTTGTAAAATATTGGCATAAAATTGTCCTTTTTTAAAAATTTTAATTGTAATACAGTTATTACTGAAAATTCAGAAGTAGATAAGCACAAATAAGAAAAACATCCTAGCCCATCCTATAGCTTTCTTAAATATAAATATATTATTATGTATACAAATGGATTAATACCATACATACTACTTTATAACCTTTAAAAACAGTTAATACTCTAAACAGTTTTCCAAATGATTAAATACCCTGCAATTTAGTTTTTACTGGCTGTTTAACATTCTATTGATTTGCCATCATTTTTGCAACTGATTCGCTATTGTTTTATATATATATATATATATATATATATATATATGTTTCTAATCTTTTACTACTGCATACAGTATTGTCATGGGCATCTTTGCAACTACAACTTTGCAAACAGGACGACAAATTCCTAATGGAATTGCTGGGTCAGAGAGTAGGCAGAATTCTAACATTTTAAGTCATTATTGCTCAGTATCCTTCTGGAAAGGTTTCAACATGTACTATCCCATAGCAGTTAAGAGAGCACTTGTTTCCTTGAATCCTCAGAAGTACAAAGTATTATGATTTTAAAAGACTTATCAATTTGATAAATCCCACTGTTGCATCTTAACAACTATACATAAGTGCAACCATTTTTTCACGTGTCTTTGGCAGCATGTGAAAAAATGAACCCTCTTCTACAAGGTTATTGTTTAGGGTTTACGAATTTATTACAAAGCAGCACTTTTTGAATTCAATAAAAGCAACAAAGTAATATCATGTACAGAGGGCCTACCTAAGAAGCAGATGGACAAGAACTGTAAAGGTTCAGTTGTTGGTATATGTATCCTGCTTACATACGTGTGCAAAAGTCAACAGCAAATGACTACTGCCTTTTTCAATGCAACATTAACATTTTGAAAACCAGTGGTATGAGAATGGGTTAACCATGTATTCATGGGTGTGGCAACCTTGAAAAAGAAATAAAAGTATAATCCTGGGACATGTAACCAATACAGATGTTATGCCACATGTGACCATAATTCTAGTTACAATGACCTGACAGGCACTTCATGGACCCTCTACAAAAAGGAACTTGTTTTTGTTGTTGTTGTTTTTTAAAAAAATTCAGTCCCATGTGTGTTAACAGCCAAGCTCACAATTAACCAACACTGAAGAAATGTAGCCATGAGTGGGATTAGGAGGTGAATATGAGTAGGAAAAAGAACCTGAGCCAGGTGCTCTTTGATGAACCACTCCTAGATGACAATGTTCCCTTAGGCTGATGTCACTAAGGTGGATCCCTCTTTTAATATTCATAGAGGGAAAATGAGGTTTCAGCATCCATTCAATGAGTTTGGACAGAAGTGGGCTTGGGCTTCTTCCTCATGGTGCATGGAGGAAGCTCCAGGTGGAAGTGGCTCCTAGTGGCCATCAAAGCAGACTCTAGTGGACACAATGTCACAGACGTGGTGCCCTCTATTCCTGACTATATCAAGATGCAGCTCCCACCTCGGTTTTGATGCCAAGGCTCAACATTTTTCAAGATAAAAATCTCTGTACAATCAACAAACAGACACTCTGGTATAAATGCCCTGGGGCTCCACTGATGTGTCAAAGTTCTGCATCTTTTCAGAAAAGGTTTATAAATACAGGACTCAATGGAATTCAAAGACAAGCTCCACTCCCCCCCCCACGCCCAAATTTGAAGGGAAATAAGCCCAAATCCACTTACGTTTTTGCTTCTTCTCTTGTTGCATATGTGACGTTGACAACGGCAGTTTCTGTGTCTGTGTTGACTAGGAAAGAAGCAAAAACTACATTGTCATAGAAAAAAAAAAAGCTGCCACCATCTGGCTAATGTAAATAAACTTATTTAGAGAAAAATGCACAAAAAAAGTCACTGCCCTATCTCTTAGAGTTACTTGAATCTCTATCTTTATTCATGCGCATTCATAGGAATTTGTAATCAACTGTATATACACATTTGTAATCAATTGTATATACAACTCAAAACTACATTTTCACTAATTTTATCAACACTTTTGCACATGTATATGTATATGCACATTTTCTTTGGATTTTTCATTTTTAATGCCTTCATAAAATTGCAGCAAATAAATGTGCCATGACTTTTGCCTAACCATTCCTTAATTGTTGACAAATGGGTTATTCCCAGTATTTGCTATTCTGACTAGTGTTGATAAAAATCACCACTGTTGCAAATATCACTTGATTTGTGTTCTTCTGAATTATTTTTTTTAGGGTAATTTGGAAAGAAAATAATTGGTAAAAGAACATAATGCTTTTTAATGATTGTTTTCAGATTATTCTCCTAAAAGTTTGTATCAATTTATTGTACCACTATGAGTTTTGTTATAATTTGCACTTATTTAAAAATAACTGGATATATGTATAAAATAATAAGAAAGTATTTTAATTTTAATTCTTCATTCATGGATAAGGTTGAACTATTACTATTTTTGTTCCCCTCTGATAGACCTCCTTGACTGACTGTGTGAGTTAAATCTAGTAACTGTGTACAATGAATAAAGAAAGTTGACAATTCCAACCCACTTGACTGAAGAGAACACACAAATTCTAAGAGTGGTTAATAAGGGATCACTCTTGTGAGTTGCTTTATCTTGGTTCATAATTGCTTGCCTCTTCTTCCAAAGTCAGACATAAAAAATGAATTCAAACAGCAAGACAAAACTTTCTCAATCTAAGTCAGTAAACTTAAACCAAAAATACTGGTTTCCCCAAAACCAGTAAACATAACTAAATCACATCCTCCCCCACTAAAACATTTAAGCTATTGGGAGACTTGGAATTAACAACATTAAGGTGAGGATAATTCAAGAAAACCACAGTAGAGGTGCTTTTCAAAATAATAATAAAACCCTATAGTGCAGGGATCCTTAATCTTTTTTTATTATTATTATTATTTTTTGCAGTACACGGGCCTCTCACTGTTGTGGCCTCTCCCGTGGTGGAGCACAGGCTCCGGACGTGCAGGGCCTGTGGCCATGGCTTACAGGCCTAGCCGCTCCGCGGCATGTGGGATCTCCCCAGACTGGGGCACAAACCCGTGGTCCCCTGCATCGGCAGGCGGACTCTCAACCACTGCGCCACCAGGGAAGCCCTTTAATCTTTTTTTAAAAAAACATTTATTTATTTATTTGGCTGTGCTGGGTCTTAGCTGCGGCATGCAGGATCTTCGTTGTTGCATGCAGGCTCTTTGTTGAAGCACAGGGGATCTAGTTCCCTGACCACGGATCGAACTCAGGCCCCCTGCACTGGGAGCCTGGAGTCTTATCCACTGGACCACCAGGGAAGTCCTGGGATTCTTAATCTTGAATCCATGTTAGAGCTTCAGGAATTCTTTACTCACCCTCCCCACTTCCCTGCAAATACTCAAAATTGTGGGTACGTGGATTTTTCTGGCTTGTAATTTCCATATGATTCTCAAAAAGGTTAAAGACCACTGTTATCCAATAACTTCAAAGTAGCTGCAGCCCTTATGGGGAGGGGAGGCATAATCCTCAGGAAGGAACTGCCACTGAGATTTACGTGTCACCGGTGCTGAGCCCAGCCCTTGCCTTGGCCTGGGGGTATTCGTTTTGCTAATACACAGAGAGGTCCTCATAGTGCAAAATAGAGAATGTGCAGCCCACAACCATCCTCTTGCGGTGCTGACACACTGAATGCTACGAGGCCTCATATCTGCACTTCGTAGTGCTACAGATGAGGTTGAAGACTCCAAAACGGGAGAAAGGCTGGCTTTGAACCTCCCGAATAAAGCTATCCACTAGAAGTCTTAGATTCTCAGATTTTGTTCTACTCCTTAGTCATATTCTTTGTTCTTGAAAGACATCTGTCTTCAGGAAATCAGACCTGTGATTCTGGGAAAAACTGAGCTCCATTGAAATACTTTATTTCATTGGACATGAAAGCTCTCCTTAAAATCCTACTGAAAATGTTTTCCTGCTGAATCAGGAATCACCTATGAAACAGAACAAAACAACACCCCAGTACTTCTATCCCATAGCTGTGAGGCAGCTAGAAACTGGGTGCTCTCAGGGCACAGGTGCCATTGGAACTGTGAACTGCCCCCAGGGACCTGGAGTATTTCTTCCTTGCATGGCACTGTCCTAAGTTTAATAACATGGTCTTAGTAACTTCTACAGGTTCATGTCTGGAAGGTCATCCTGCCTACTAAATCCATTCCTTATTAGAATGTCTTCTTTTCCATTTGAGGGAAATAACAAGAACTGAGAAAACAGAATCCTTGTAAATCATGTCTTCCTTCTGAGCTCTTTCCCTTCACCTTTGGGTATGGGCAGTCAGCAGTATGAAACTGACTAATAATATTTTTAATATTCAGGAGTGGAGAGCATTTGAATAACTACTGCTTTAAAACTATTATATTAATTATACTGGCAGATAGAACAGACTGCATATGAGAAAATGGATTCTCTGTGATTTTTCCTAAGTGAACTTTAACGATTATGTATGACTCCATTGTCTGTAAATATTTATTCAGGTTCTCTCTGGGTGCCCCAACTATTCAGTGATACAGGAAGGGTAAATTTATTCTCCCCATTATACACATGTGGAAACTGAGCCAATAAGGTTAAGTGACTTTTACAAGGGCTCACAGTCAGTAAGTGACTGAATTCATAGTCTGCTTTCTAGGTCAGTGCAAAAATAATCTTTATCACATGTTACTGCCTGTCCTATCAGGAGCTTAGAATCTACTTTTCAGGGACTCTTAAATAGCTACATAAGATATCAGCTGAGGTACCCTTTTTTTTTTTTCTTTAAAAATCATAGCACTTCATGTTTTAGAAGACAAAAATAAGGGCGGCAGGAAAAAGAATATATGTTTTCTGGGGATTTACAGCATTGTTCCTAAGACAGAGGCTCTCAAATGAGTACACACAAAAATTACTTGGGGGTGCTTGTTGAACATACAGATTCATGACTTCTTCCCCCGTAGTCTTAATTTGTAGGTCTGTCTACGGTGAGCCCTAGGAATCTGCATTTTCCCAAGCACTCCAGGCGATTCTGGGGTAGGAGTCCTACACCTTGAGAAACACTCAGCGCAAGGTATTAGGGATATGTTATTCTTAACCAGGAAGAGGAAAGCTGTAATAGTGTAAATCCAGTTACTTGCAAGTGAATTAAGCTTCCCCCACCCTGACAGCATTTGTCCAGTGCTTGAGTACATTAAAGAGTATAAGAAAAATAGCCTGAAAACCATTCTTTGAAAAAATCGATATAGACAGACGGATACAGACATCTCTCACATACAGATATACAAACATACACTCTAGGAAGCTTGCTTCAAAGGAATTTGAACTTATTATTTGTCCTTGGATTTGACCCGACCTATAAGAAATAACAGGTAATATCCCTCTCAAAATTCAATAGGCTAATTTCGTCACTTATTACCTTGTTCGACATTCTCCACTGTCCCATACTGAGCCAAAAGTCCATCCAACACCTGAAAAAGAAGCTTTGCTGTCAGAATTTCAGATCTTCCATAAAAGCAGCTAGAACTGAATAAATGTACAGGACTTTCATTTGCTTGTTGGCTGTCAAGTAATCCGTTCACTGAGGAAACACAGCAGAGCTTCGGAGTCTTAGTAATTGTTAACAATCACGTTCATCATGATGGTTGGAACCCACTTGCTGCTTTTGAAATGAGAAGCAGAATAATGTACAAAGATCACTTCTCCTTTCTGGAAGATTTAACCTTCTTCCTTCAGTTTTCCTTTAGGGATCTCCTTATTTTACAAAGTAATGAGATATGTATATGTTCAAAATTTTCCACAATGAAAACTTTTTTTCTTAAAGGAATAAAAACATTAGACAAAACATTCTGTTTCCTTTAAGGCTATTTTGATTTTGTTTGGGTTGGGGAACATGGGGCAGTATGTTTTTCAATAATGCAGTAAAGCCACTCCTCATATTCTAGCTTATTTTATTTCAAGGTAACAATCTTGTAAGAAGTTTTACAACTCTGAAAATATGTCTTAACTGTTATTCATAGCAACTAATTCAAAATAAACAAAAAACTTGCTCAAACTAACAAAGAACCTTCTATTCTTATGGGTTTTCCATTTATTTTATTTTTCCCCAAATCATAATTTAGAAAGGTAAAAATCTTTTATAAAATCATGGGATAAAAATCACAAGCAAGGTATGTATTTTGTTTCACAGTTTGTCTGTTGATGCTTGGTTTCTGAGAAGACAGAACATAAGGGATCAAAGTGCACATCCTGCACAACGAAAGGGACAAATCTGACCCCAAACTCAGGGCAGATCATGCACATTAGGGGCACTGAAGAAGGGAAAGTCTGAGGACCTCTAATTCCTAAATGTGAAAGGGAACTCTAAAAAAGGGAGAAAATCCCTTATTAACCCATTAAAAAATAAAATGAGGAAAGAGAGCAGGAAGATAATAAATATAGAAATGACATTGGCCTACCTCCCACTGCAGGTGAGGAGGGATGTTTCGAATCTGAATTTTCCTGCTCCTGTAAAAGATAAAAGCACAGACACAACAAACAGGCTTAAGACCACAGTTTGAGTTTACTTTCTCACTATGTTCACCAAGACACCAGCAAGGGATTTTGATTGTGAATCAAGAACATCTTGTTTTAAGCCATTCGTCAATTTCTCCCTTTATGTCTGTTAGTATTTGCTTTATATATTTAGGTGCTTCTATATTGGGAGCCTAAATGTTAATGAGTGCAATATCCTCTTCTTGTATTGATCCCTTTATCATTATATAATGCCTTACTGTATAGCACAGAGAATTACACCCAACATTTTGTAATAAGCTATAATGGAATACAATCTGCAAAAAAAAAAAACACACACACACAAAAAATGAATGACTATGCTGTACACCTGAAACTAATGTAATATTGTAAATCAATTATACTTCAATTTAAAAATTAAAAGAAGAAAAAAAAGAGCAGCTTGTTTTAAAACTTTCAATTAGGGACTTCCCTGGTGGCACAGTGGTTAAGAATCCGCCTGCCAATGCAGGGGACACGGGTTCAATCCCTGGTCCGGGAAGATCCCACATGCTACGGAGCAACTAAGTCCATGCACCACAACTACTGAGCCCACGTGCTGCAACTGCTGAACCTGTGTGCTGCAACTACTGAAGCTCGTGCTCGGCCTAGAGTCTGTGCTCCGCAACAAGAGAAGCCACTGCAATGAGAAGCCTGCGCACCACAATGAAGAGTAGCCCCCACTCGCTGCAACTAGAGAGCCCCCGCGCGCAGCAATGAAGACCCAATGCAGCCAAATAATAATAATAAATAAATAAAATAAAACACAGCTGTTTTAAACAAATAAATAAAACTTTCAATTACTTTGAGGAAAAAAATAAAGAACAAACCCAAGAAGTCTGAACAAGCTAAAGAAACAGGTTAGTTAGATGCAAATCTGCCTTTTCAATTTCCTACCACAATAGTTAGAATTTAAATTGCCACACATGTTCTAATTATAGAATTATTCCCTTCCTCCTCAACATACATAGTCCTGCAAGTGACCCTACCCCAAAAGGTACCTAGGCTCAAACATGAGAGATGGAATACATACACAGTAGGTTTAAAGAGGATCTTACCTAACAATGCAGAGCTTCCTTTTCAAAAATTATTTTTATTTCTAATAGGTAATACAGTCCTAATTCAAAAATCAGGACACTTTAAAGAGGTATTCCATGAAAAGTCTTACTCGTTGCTTGTGTAGCCTTCAGTTCCTTTATGCAAATACTAGTAAATACAAATATACAATCCTATTTCCACCTTTTCTTATAGAAATATTTGCATATTCTGCACACTCACTGAATCTTGTTTTTTTCACCTAACAGTAATGTCCTGAAGATCTTTCTGTATTGGCAGATAGAGAATATCCTCCTTCTATTTTACACTACTCGGATGTACCAAGTATCCATCCCCTATTGATGGATATTTGGGCCTTCTCCTGCCTTTTTATTCAGAAGATTTTTCTTTTTTTCTAAGATATCTGATAACTTTGAGTGATTTAGATCATTTCTTGTTTTTACTTAAGCGTTAAAATTAGATAGAAAGAAGAATAGAAATACGAAGATAAGAATTTTTCTATCTTTAGAGAATATGTTAGATCCCAGAAAGAAAACACAAATCAGCATTTAAATATTAGAAGAGGTCATTTCAATGGAAGGGCTTGGCACTGAAATCCCATAAATATCGCCTTTGGGGGTTGCAAGAGAAGAGATGTAGTGGCCAAAGTGTAGCCCCATTACTTTTCCTTTCCTTCTTGTGTAAGAGGTATCAAATAGTTGCTATATGCAGCCACACATTTCTCCATGGCTTTAATCTGGGCAACAGCCACAGAAAGAAATGTCACAATTCATGCAGAGAGGAAAAAGGAGTGAGACAGAGAAGTACACAGACAGGGGAAACAACAAACAAATAATGAAGGAACTGAGGGGCTCCTGTTTCCTCTTTTTTTTTAAATTAAGGGGGACCCCATCCCTCTGTTCTAGATCCCATATACTACTTCTGTCTTGTTTTATTTTTAAAAAATGAGAACGCATTCATGCTTTACCAGAGCTGCCTAAATGACTATACAAGCCATTCTGTAGAACCTCTAATCTTGTGTCAGGATAGGAAGGCGAAAAAAGAACCAGGAACTAATTTCTGCTTCTGTGCTATGAAGGCTCATTCCTGACACTGCCTTTGGCAAGAGTTCATAATAAAACTGCTGACACCATCCCATACAGTGGCTACATGGAATGCTCCACAAAGGATGTCACAAGCCTAACTATTTATAGAAAAGGCATCATAATTTACAAGAAAATTGAATATTTCTAAAGAAGAATATTTTTGTTATCTCCAAGTATAAATAAACATTGACTACAACTGCTAAGCAAGAATTTATTGATAGAAATCCTATGGGAAGAAACTTCTGCATAGACACTAAGATTTGAATAGAGGAAGATACTGTTGCATTGTTATGGCAAAGAATGCAAATAATCTAAGTATCCACAAGCAGGGAGATGAATAAGTAAATCATAGTAGAGCCATAATACTGAACATTATACAGCTGTTAAAAAGAATGAAGTAGGGCTTCCCTGGTGGCGCAGTGGTTGAGAGTCCGCCTGCCGATGCAGGGGACGCGGGTTTGCGCCCCGGTCCGGGAAGATCCCACATGCCGTGGAGCGGCTGGGCCCACGAGCCATGGCCGCTGGGCCTGCGCGTCTGGAGCCTGTGCTCCGCGGTGGGAGAGGCCACAGCAGTGAGAGGCCCGCGTACCGCAAAAAAAAAAAAATGAATGAAGTAGACATGTATCCACGGTCATAGGACACTCTTCAGGCATAATGTTATAAGATGAGCGCTAATTACAGATTAGGTTTGATCTGTTTTTTAAGAGCACAAAACAAAACTATATGTCATTAAGTGTATATATATGTAAATGCACAGAAAAAGGTAGCTACAAACATTTGGTTGGTAAAACGGGACATGTACTTTTTATTTTAGCTGCTTCTGTCTTGCTTGCTTTTTAAAAAAATGACATGTTCATGTCTCACTTACTTTAAAAAATTAACACTTAAAACTCCTACCAGGGCTGCTTTCATGAATCGAAAAGATTCATTTCTTTAAAGTATCCTGGAACCTGCTTTTAAAAAAAAGAGAAAAACCCTCTTATTTTCTCCATAATTATCAACAGGTTAGGTATCCTTCTTGAAATCTTATTTAACGAAGTATTAATTTGTTTGGCAAACCCCTTTGTTCACAGGGTGTAAATAATAAAACTCTGCCCAGTCCAGATGATCCCGAATCCTAACTGAATGGGTCTAAAACAATGATGCTTCCCTGTAATATCTGGTGTGAGGACTGCACATCAGGCAATCAGTTGAGTAACTGGAACGTTCGTTAAGCAGGATTCTCTAACAAGCTAGTGTGTCGCATCTCTAATTTTAGAACAGGATTTTAACCCAGGAACGAAATTTTAACCCAGAAACGAAAAGGGGAAATGGAGATCACTGCAGTAGAACCCATTCAACTGGAGTTCAGTCAGGTGATCTGGGAGAACATCCTGAGAGACTGTCTTTCAGGATTAGGAGTGACCAGGATCTTTGGGATCTGCTAACTTCCATGACATCGTCTGGACACTGTGCCTGCTTGTCAGGGCACCCAAGATGCCCAACCCCTTTTTCCCTGGGAGGGATGTCTGTGTGCTCTTCAAAACCCAGCTCATACTTGCAGACAATTCCAGGGCATCTCCAAAAAAGAGTTGTTTCTATGCACTCACTCTTAAGGTTTTATAACAGCTCTCTCTTTGCTATAATCACTTATCTGCTGGCGCTGGTCCTGTCCTCACTGGATTGGAAATTTCCTCAAGGACAGGCTTCTTGTTTACTAGTCTCCTGTCCAGCAAGAGGCCAAGCACATAGCAGAAGAGGAGAACATGGAACTCTGGGGTCTGGGAAAAGCACTGCTATTTCTGGCTGTTGTCTGTTTATGAGGCGGACCTTCTGGACCCTACCTGGGAGGGCACAGGCTGTCCTTTTCTCCTTTGCCAGGTAGTAAAGGGGAGAGGGAAGACTTCTTTCCCCTCTTTCCTTTAGAGAAGAAACCCAGTGCTCAGCTCAGTCTCGAACAACAAATGTGGACCTTTCTCCCTTTGAAATCCATAAAAGTGTGCCCTGCTTGCAAACAAGCCCAATTTACACAATAACTTAGGAAAGTGATTGGTTTTAAGAAAATAGTTCTTCGTTCCTTAAAAAAAAAAAAAAGAATAACCTCACCGTTCCTTTAGTTTAAAAAAGAAATCAAGCTTCTCTAAAAATACATAATTGACATTTCTCATCCTCTCCACCCAGAACCATTACAGCCAGCTCCTAGCTGGCCTGCCGTCTGTCTTACTTTCCCCTCCTCTCCCATCCTTCCCACACTTAGTGACTTTCTAAAACACAAATATGACTGGTTGCTTCTGCCTTCTTTGAATGACTCCCTGTCACCACATCCAAATTCCCATTCATGACCCTGTTACGGTCCCGTTCCCCATCTCTTTATCTTTAAACCCTCTTGCCCCAGCAACTGCTCTAAACTTTGGGCTCTTACCCTTCCATCCAAAATAATTTGTCACACCTGTAGTCTATATGCGTGCCAGGTCTGAGCCTTCAACATGCTCAGTCCACCTTAAAAACAAGAGTAAACAAAGGCAGTAAGGAACATGATTTTGATTAAAAAAAAATTTTAACTGAAAACAGAATAAGACCTGCAGTCAAGCTATTAATATAGACACACAGGCTCTCTCCCCAAGGCTCTGGGATTCAGGAACTCAGAATTTCCCACTTTCATATTCAAGTAAGTGTGTTCAGTGGAAAAGAGCAAGTAGCTCAGTCTCTACACATCCAGGAAAAGAATAATATAGCCCAACAGCTATTCTGCTTGGCTGAGGAACTGGCCACTTTGATGGATTCTATATTGTGGTTAATTGGTGACAACGGTATACACATGTAGACTATCAAATC